AGATTACCGAATGCAGTCACCACTTGGTGGAGTGACACATCAGGCTTCGGGATCGACGGGTGACCCCGCATCTCCCATTCCAGAATGGAAACTCCGACGACGTCAGCTATGATCGTACTGAGGCACCCCATAAGCGCAACGGAAGACGCCTCCTTCAAGGTGGGGATCAGGCACACTGGGATGACCGTGACAGCCATGAAGACCATCCAGAAGATCTGACTGAACGAATCGGGGAACAGCACGTCGAGCAGCATACTGCCGAGTACCAAGAAAGCACACGGTAGCAGTAGGCACACTAACAGCTGCGACATCATGACAGCATAGCGACCTGTGATGCCAAACACCCAGGCACCGACATCCGTGAATGTTTTGACGGACGGCGGTGCTGCGTTGATGACCTTGGACAGAGCGATAGTCGCGTAGATGTTTACGAACGCCATCAGAAGTAGAGCAACCGTAGCGTAGATCGGCCCCGCGCGCGCGTAGTTGGATGGCATTGACAGCGAGCCAATACCACAGAAGCAGCAGAAGATGTTAAAGCTAATCTTGGCATCTTCGAGCGTGTAGAACGGAGAGCGGCGAGCTGGAGGCGCGGCCATTGTGACGAAGGCGACTGAAGGAAAAGTGAGCGGCCAGGACGGAGCAGCAAGGTCTGCTGGTTGGTGAGACGCAACGAGGTGCAACCAGGACAAGTGAAGCAGACAGTCCACCGTGGTCTCACACGATCTCTTATCGCGCGTGGCGTTTGCACGCATGGACACGAGGCAGGACGCTGTAGACCATCCAGTAGAGAGTCGGACTGCTAAGCCAGGGCACCGGTCAGACTCCTTCAAGGTGATGTCTACAGCAGATGGTGTTTGGAGGCAGGCTTTGAGGAATCGGACTTCGATTCGATAGAAGTCTTGATGGGCTGATTAATCCTACGTGATGCACTATCGATCTACGTTTAGTTGGAAGTAGAATTGCGGACGTAGTACGGCTCCATTTGGCTCTCTACAGAGCAGTACGGGAACGTGGCGGTTTTTGTGTCCGGATTGAAGAGGTTCTTGCCGGCGTAGATCATGACATAGCAACCGACGATACTACAGATGACGATAACTAGGATGGCAACGATACGCTCGTACGCGGGCAGCTCCTTCCAGAAGACCTTGAGGTAGAACGTAATAGGTAGAGCGAGACAGCACACTGTAATGGCCGAAGCGCCCGTGAAGTCCACGAGGTCGAGGAACTTGTCACGGAGGCCGATGGAAACAGCCACAAGCACGGCAATGATGCACAGACGTAGAGTCACATAACGGAGCACAGTTCCCGCGCCCTGGTACTCTGATAGTTCCTGCTCTTCCTTCTCTTTC